CTTTTTATAAAGATTATTGTACCATGATTTGTTTGGCACACAGTCTGTCCTCAGACAAGTGTGAAAATATATATATATATACCAGCATTCACGCGCAAGTAACAGGTTTGAGAGGCATGATCGACCCGGCCAGAAACCGTGTTGTTGGTGGCACACCAAATACTGCCGAAGCCGTGCAGCCACCAGTCGCTCCATTACTTTACGCACAATGCTAGTAAGGCCGACTGGTTGGTAGTTCCCAGGGTCACTCCTATCCCCAACTTTGGGCAGTGGAACAATGACAGCGTCCTTCCACTGCCGCGGTAAACGCCCTTGAGTGAATGAAAAATTGAACAGATTGCACAGTGGCGCTGCAAGTTCATCTGCCATCTCCTTCAGGATCAACGGATGCATACCATCAGGTTCAGGTGACTGGTGAATCTTTAGTCGACGCAGCTCCAGGGCCACCTCTCCGATTGTAAATTGGGTCCAGTTCAGCGCAGTGTAAGTGTCCAGTAGATGTGCCAGTGTGTTGGAGTCTGGGGTGTACACTGAGGCATAATGTGATGCCAGCATTTCCGATTTGTCCTCATCTTTTTCGGCTAGTACCCCATCTTTGGCGAGAGTCGGAAGACTAGACGTTGCTCTGATTCTTCGCCTGAGGTAGGCATACAATCGCTTTGATGCTTTAGTAAATCCGCTGCTAGTCGTTCCTCAATCTTGCATTTTTTTTAGTGTAGTACAATGATTCCGAATACATCGATATTCCTCATATCCTGCGCCTGTTGCACAGTACCTGGACCAAGCTTTATTCCGCTGCCGGAGGCACGCCCACAGTTCTTGGTCATACCACGGCGGGCCCATAGCGTGTGTTTCGTGGCGGTGAGGTAGAGAGAATTCCAGTATGAGTTGCTGGATTCTATGACGAACCAACTCCCAGGATACATCCACATTGTCAGGGTTCCGGGAGTCCCAACTTGTGAGCAATGCAGCCTGAGCACACGAACATGCTGAACAAGCGAGAGGGCCCGGACAGCAAAAAGTAGTTCTCTGGAAAACAAATCTGCCTGCTGAGAGCAGATGTCAGTTTCCCAATCAATATGGGGCGCGTTGAAATCATCCAAAACAAGACAATTTCCATCGCAGGCGTACCTCTGTATACTGGCCAGCAGTTCTGGGACGTACACAGTTGGTGTGCGGTAAATCGCTCCAACTGTGGTATACCCTCCGGCACAAAGCTTGGTTCTGCACCACAGGTCTTCTCCAAATCCTTCCGGATGGGCGTAGTTCTCCAGCACTCGAACAGGAAGACCTGAGCGAACAAGAAGAACAACTCCACCACCGCGACGTGACGATGATCTATCCGTTCGAAACACTGTATCCGTGGAGTAATATTTCGGATTCCCGGATATCCGGTGTCAGCCAGGTCTTAATGATTGCAAAAAGATCGGGGTTGTGGGATACAATCCAGTCCTCCAGCTCATCCCTTTTTCCCAGCATCCCTCGGGTATTGATTGAGGCTAGCACAGCGTAGTTACCTCGCCATTCGCGCCTCAAGCTAATTCCCCAGTCCATGGTTAAATAGTCTCCTGGGTCCTCCCCTGACCAAGGGTAGCCAACGTAATTGAGGGCGCTTCCGATGCACACGAAAATCCCGTATACACAGATCAGTTTCTCCTTTTGCATGG